TTTTTTTTTTTTTCGATATTCACAATATTCGATACGAGCGCGTCAAATCCAAACGTTTCCACTGCGATAAAATACATACAAGTGTCACAACACGCAGTCTTCTCTAGTTCACACATACACACACACACACACGCGCGCGCGCGAAATGTATCTCGTATCGTTACGTAAAGACACTTTAACCTTTTTCTCTGTTCTACGATTTTTATATCTTCCACTCAACTACCGTAAACCATGCGTAGAGAACGTTAACGTTGAATAGAAATATTCCAATTTTCCTTACTTTCTGAATTAACGTTATTAACTCGTTTACCCGTTTCAGCGATAAATTTACCTCGATATATATGTATATATATATATATATAGAGAGAGAGAGAGAGAGAGACGGTTGTTAAGAGAGGAAAAAAAAATAAAAAAAAAGGAATAGACTACTTTCACGATGAAACCACACGCGCGCATAAAAAAAAGAAGGAAACTTTTACGTTCGAGTTCTTCTCGCTTTTCTTCTCGCGGTCGTCGTTTCCCCGCTAAAAAGGCGAAACAAGTATTTCTCTCTCGCGAGATTCGACCATCTATGTTCCCGTTCGCTATCATTATGGATGCGACATCGAAATATATATATATATATATATAAAGAATGGAAGTGAAATCGCGGCCACGATGGCGTTTCAACGTTTTTCGGCCGGCGCGGGAAGAGGGCAGACGCGAACAACATCCGGGATTTCTGTTGTTGCCGATAAATTGCGCATCGAAACGGGCCAAACTGCGATTAACGGGTCTGGGATTAACGGAAGAAAATCGCAATAACCCGTGAAATTGTGCCACGATTTTTCACTCGAGTTTCGTACTTTCGATCGAGTAATAAAAATTCTTTTCGTCTCCCTGAAATAAATCTAAAATATTCTTGATAACGAAAATAATACGAGTTAAAAAGTGAGAAGAGGTACAAATTATTAGAGCTATATAAGTCGTCAATTGAGAATAGATATAAAAGTCGCGTTAAATTTTTATTTATTTTTTTTCTTTTTTTGTAAAGTTACGTTATTCGTTACATCGATATTATTTTCTCATTTGACGTAAACGTAAAATTTAATTAATTCGATTAAGATAAAGAATATACAATAAGAAAGAATATATTTAATAAATTAAACAGGAATAAACTTACTTAGATGTGAATCGTGCCGATGCCTTTCCTCTACTGAGCTGTTCGCTGTGTCGAGTCGTCGTCCAAAACAAACGAAACAGAATCAAAACATCGTTCCAATGACGCCCGATTCGCGCATAAACATACGAGTCGTACTTTTACGTATATGTATAACGCGTATATTAAAATTTTCAATATTATATATCCCGATATTATATATCGTTATTTACAAATTCTAAAAAAAAAAATAAATAAATTCTTTTAAAACAATTACTCGACTTATACGATTTTATCCATATTTATTTTTATAAACGTAAAAATCCTGTTTAATAATTTTACCACTCCCCTTACATACATATGTATTGTACAAATATTCTCGACGATATTAACACTTTCTCGAGGCAAAGATTTAAGATCCCTTAAGAACGACGATCTCGTTGGTAAAACGTGGGCACGTACATTCATCACCGTGCACGGTCGATTTTTAGATCATCCACGTCACCCATTTTAACAAACGAGCGAATCCCTTCTTCCTGACCGCTGACCTTGATCGATCTCTCCCTCTCTCCCTCTCTCCCCCAGCAGAGAAAATCCGAGCACAGGCTGGTATTCTCTCCTGGTCTTTATCGCGAACGCATACCTCTCCTCTCGAGATATAGAGCGTATCGTTGATTTTCCGCGTGTCGTAAATGTTTCCTCCTCTCCACAGAAGGCAGAAGGCAGAATCCGCATCGCGTGACTCGCGCAAACAACCCGTGTACGCTCTCCGATCCCCGAGGCTACGAGAATTAATGGCGGCCATTGCAAACGCGTCTCGGAAACGTGGCCAGTGACTCCTCCACGGGGTGGAATGCACACCTTCCAAGACTTCTCTTTATTAATGGGGGAGGAGGGAAGGGAAGAAGATCCGCATCGCCAGGAATTCGAATAATTCATCGCGATTAAACGCGATTGCGTCTATAAAACTATTGCGTTGCGATCGAAATCTCCTTTAATCTTCGGCTTTGTTTATGTCGAGTTATATTAAAAAGTAATCGCGGATATATTAAAAATAATGATATATTGGATGGAAAGGAAGGAGGATCGAGATAATACTGGGATGGAGCAGCGACCGCTTGTTACGACCCGGAACGCTAACGCATAATATCTTTTTTAAAGCCGGTATAAACTTTGCCCGCAAGCTTTAATAATTCAATGTTGAACGGTGAAACTTTTGTCGCGGATGAGAAAAGGGGCCAGAATTTACAGTTAAACAGCGGCAAATAAACTCGTTTCGCTCGGCCCTTTCCAAGGCTTTTCCTTCTTCCGTCGTCAAAACTTGATGACGATGTAATTATACATTTTCAACGAGTCGATGAATAATTTTATATCGTGTCGAACGCTCTTATCGAAATATAAAGAAAGATGAAGCACGGTGTTTCGATTCACCGTCGAATACACGTCGATAACGATCGCACGACAACGGTGATGCGTCGATCGGGTGAGAAAATTCTGGACATCGTAGAATTGGCGTTTTAACGACGTTTCAGTGGACACACGGACGGAGGAAAATGGTGTGGAAAGCTGAGCGACGAGCCACGCACGGTATGCAGAGGCATCCAGATGGGGCTTCCTGGTCAGAAGTTGGCATCTATCTATCGTTCCAGAGTTTCCTGTCGGATAATTATTTCACGTAATTGGAGTCGAGAGAATTCCGTACTTGTTAGTTGGACCGATGCGTTGGTATTTTACTCCGTTGTGATTGTGTGCTGCGGGGGAGAGGGGAGAGAAATTATCCCCCGTCTCGCGATGAAACGCGGAAATTTCGCGATGATCGCAAGACTTCGAGATTGAAATTCGATTTCGATTAATCGGAACAAAAAATATTCCAAAAAATATTCCTCCTTTCGAAATATATTTACTTATCCGAAAATATCTTACGATACAATAATTTTTCCCTCGTCTTTGCATTCTCTTAAGATCGTTTCAATCCTAGAAACCTTAAATTATCATTCTTCTCAACGATAATCCCTGAATTTATGTTTCTCCATTCTAGAGAGTTTGCCGGAATTCACAAGCAATTTTTCGATTTTAATTAGCCAGTTCGCAAGGAAACTTTAGTCTAATTTAGACAGAGCGAAAAAATGATTCTTTTGAGGCGGCGCGACACCCCGACCTTTCAACCAGGGCAAAGGCGTCAATCGCAATCCCGAGTTCCTCTGTGAGCCCTAACGAAGGTGTAAACCCTATTTAACGGCAACTTAAACGCGAAAGGAAAAAGAAGAGGCTGGACACGTTGCCGCGGCTTTTTGCAACCAGCTCACCGCGCTAACGCTCTCGTGAGAGATCAGAGGAAGCCAACGCCTCGAAAACTTTTCCCGAATTAATCGCCAGCCACCAAGTAAGATATACTCGTTCCTCGTCGACGATGTCTTCATCGCGCGTGCAACTCTCGAGTAGATAAAAATTGAGCAAAGGAAATTCGATTGCATAAAATAACTTAATCGCAGGAGAAATCAGAAGTCGTCGTGGCTTTTTGCAAGCAATCCTCTCGAAAGAAAATTTGTTTCTCACAAGTAATATCGAAATTTGATTAATAATTTCATTGGAGAGAATTAATTTTCAATAAATTTGCATATTATTCTCGTACTTACGTATCGTATCACTATCGATACACAAAGATACTTGAAAAACGAGAGACTCACCTGAAACGAAAAAAGAATTTTCTTTCGTCAATGCAACATACTTGGAGTTAATTTTATTTAATTGGATTCGTTTTATTTAATTCGAAGGATAAACGTATAATTTCCTTGTACCCGAATGCGTAACAGATAATAACATCTATCCAAAATTAATTTCCCTCGCACACTTTTCCCAATCCTGACAAATCTGGACGCGCGAAACTCACTTAAGAGGCCGCATTTTGCTCAATTGATGGCGAGATCCTTCTCGTCCCCTCTGGAGAGGGGATTCATTAAGAGAACGGAGTTCGGAGCACAGCATCGGACGGAGCACGCGAAAAATTAGGAAACGGCCACGTTTTATTAAAACGCTCCAGCTCGACCACTCGCGTTGTGATTATCAAGTTCCTCTCGTCGCCTTCGCGAAATCAGAATCCCAGAGATGCGACTTTCGAATCAAACGAAACGATCCTCTATTCAAAATCTCCGTAAATATATCAAATTCGGCAAAATTTGTAGACAATAATAACGTACGTTCTGTTATTCGCACAATGTAAACATAACGTATTTATATAACGTAATAAACACACTTTCCTGTGTTAAATGTAATCGTATCGATTCAGTGCGAAACAGAGAACGGTATCGACAGGTCGAACGAAAACTAGTAATATATATTTTAACCATTGAAGAAAAATTAGCAAGAATATTTGATGGATGGTTCGAAATAAAATTTTATTTACTGCTTACGATAAAAAATTGATACGACTTAGCGGCTGAAAAGATATAAGACCCTTAAATGTCGAAACAAACGTTGATTTCGTTAATTTCTATTTGAATAAATGAAGTTCAATGCAAAAGAAAGTAATTGTACGAAATTCTAGCTACTTTTACTATCCTTTATTTCTCTCTCGATACCATTGCAATCAATTACACGAATTTTCTTTCTCGGATGACACAATTCTTTCGCGACTTAAGTTTTAACGGAGAGGTTCGCAACCCTCTGTGAAGGGTTCACAATTTTTCGGCGCAATGGAAATCATAATGCGGGTGTAAAATCGGCGGAAAAACGAAAACTAGTGATATAATTTTAACCATTGAAGAGAAATGAAAAATAATCGATGTTGCGATGAAATTAACAAGAATACTTGGTGAATGGTTCGATACATAATTCTATTGCTTACGATAAAAAATTGATACGATTTAACTAAAAAGATATAGAACCCTTAAATGTCGAAAGAAACTATCAATTTCGTTAATTTCCAGCCACTTTTGTCTTCCTTTATTCGATGTCTTTCTCGATATCATTACAATCAATTACACGAATTTTCTTCTTCGAATGAAACAACAATTCTTTCATGGCTTTTAACGGAGAAGTTAAGAGCAACCCTCTCTCAAGAATTCATAATTTTTCGGCACAATAAAAATCATAATGCGGATGTAGAATCGGCGAAAGAACGAAAACTAATAATATAGTTTAACCATTGAAAACCATGGGAAATTAATAAGAATACTTAGTGGATGATTCGATACATAATTCTACTTACTGCTTACGATAAAAAATTGATACGATTTAACTAAAAAGATATAAAATCCTTAAATGTCGAAA